CTTTAATGTAAGAACAGATTTTTTTTTTAATTTATATAGTCAAATAATTTTTATAACAATTACATTACTACACAATTTTTTTTTTATATAAACACTAAATTTCTCGTATATTATAATTTATGTATTCAATATTTTTTTGTGGGTGAAAATCCAAATAAGTTATGATTAATTTAAAGTGAAGTGAAATTTATTCCAAAAATCTAGTACATTTAGTTGAATAGGCGCAACTAGAGGCTATGGTAATGTATAACAAATGTAAGATATATCTGTGTTCTTATATAAAAATATTTTTAGTGTGAAAAAATAATAATAACACCGTGTAAAGCATTAATTCTAGTTGCGCTTTTAAATTCCAAAAAGAAATAGGAAACCCGTTTAGATTTTGATTTAAAAGCAATTAAAATCACTATTTTAAGTCATTTCAATAAAAATATGCATAAGAAGTTCTCTATTCGTGTGGAACCTAGTTTTAGAACGAATTAAAACTCTTAGTTAGTATAGATAAAAGTGTAGTTAAAATAAAGTATCAATTATAACTTTGTTAACAGATATTCTTAAAGTATGATATTAAGGTACATTGTTGTAATTTTTTAAATACACCAAATGCCAAGACAGAAAGCACATAAAAAAATCAATTAGCTACTTGTAGTTGCAATTTCTCGTGTATTATAATTGTATATAAACTCAAACATTTTAAAATTTAATTTCGATATCTAATAAAAGTATAAAATTAATTTTCGAGTTATAATAATTACATAATAAAAATTATGAAAAAAGAACGAATAAAGTTATGTTAAAAATTCAAATGCCATTTACTATTAAAATATTTTTTATGATAATAGTTCTATCATTTTAGCCTAGTTTATATTATTAAATTTCAAATTTTAAATCTCAGATACTAGATTTATTTTAATAATGTTGTTTGATAAATATTTAACATTACTAAATACAATTTTAATAACTTAATAATTATAATTATAACAGTTCTATTCTTCTTAATTACAACATTTTAAGTAATACAATAAAGACTAAAATATTTTGATTTATAAAATAATTAAATGTTTAATTTTCTATGAACATTATCATTTTTTTTGTTATATAGGTTTCCTTCATTTAATTGTGTTACTATAAAACATATACTCTGTATATACTTCCTTTTGTTATTGTTATTATGATTTATTATAAATAGCATTTTTAAATATATTAATATATAAAATAAAATATCATAAACAGGATGTAGTAAACATTATGAAATAGTAATGTGTAAGTATATGTAACAAACGTTATGTTGATCATTTAAACAGAATTGTAATAAATTACTAAAAACAGCTAATAAAGTGTTATTAATTTCGGTAATCAATTCTTTCAATTGAATATACCTCCAAATTTAATATAAACAATGTTCAAATACCTATCAGTTATATTTTCTAGTTCCTCCTCACCGTTTTCTGTATTCGACTTATGTGTAAGGATTGGGTGAAAGTAACTAAATTTATTTTGTATAAATAAGAATAATACGACGTTTATTTATTTCAATATATTTATTATTAACTTTAAGGTAAAAAAAATTAATATTTTACTATTAATATATAAGGTATGAAATTAAGTATTAGTTTAAGTAGAGATAAAGAAAATATAAGCGATAGTTATTAAAAAAAAATTAAGTAAATCAGTAACGTTTGTACTTAGCCAATCAATTTAATCTTACCTATGAATGAGTTTTCTGTGTCTTCATCATAAAAAATAATACTTTCTTGACAAGATAGAGATCTTACATGTAGTTTCTATTCGAGATATACAGAGTGTTCAGTAAGTTAGGAAACAGTTAAATTGTTACAAACAATGAGTACAATAGAAATTCGTTTCCTTATTTACTGAACACTCTGTATATTACTCGAATAGTTGACTAAGATGAGGTATTTTCTGATACTATTAACGCTATTGAAAAAAAATGATAATTAACCACAATAATTTTTATATTAATAAATGATCACTACATTTTTTTACTGTTTTATCTTTTTTAGGTACCTTCGTATTCACACTCCGAAAGGAAAAATTATTTTAAACAATAAGTAGTAACTCACCCCACCCAACAAAAATTATTACTTTATTTGGGGTTAATATGTACTTATGTTTAAACCTTTAGGCGATTTTTTTACAAAAAATTGTTTTATAATGATTATTGTATATAATTTTTGTATTACTAAAAATAATTCCCTTTCAATTCATGCAAATTAATTGGTCATATCAATTACTTAAACAATTTAATATTTCACATTAAAGTTGTATTATTATAAATTTATAATAGAAAAATGAATAATAAAATTAAGTTAAAAAAAACTGAAAATTAAAATGTTTGGTCGATAAATAAAAAAGTTCAACGGCCAAATGCCTGATAATTAAGATAAATTAGCCTTTTATCTTCTAAAGGACATAAAACTGCATACGAATAATTATTTTCTACTTTTTCTTTTTCAATTCTAAATAGGCTTTTCATTTGCGATGGGTTCGAATTAAATATATTTAAGGGACATATAGGAAAATTAAATAATTAATATGTAGGTGATTAATATTACATTAATTACTAAAAATTATTTTTCAACATTTTTTGGAGTTAAATTTCAAACCAATTAAAACTTTTCTCAAATGTTACAGTCATTAAAGTTTTTAATTTTTTAAAACGTCCATTGTTTTTAAAAATTATAATACCTGAATCAAATTTGAACTAAGTTACATCAGAGATACAAAGCTTACTCTTGCAAAAAAATAATATAAAATCATCCATTAAGTTAATATTAATAGTTTAACAATTTATTGTTTCAGTCGATTGTAATGTAATATAGGAAATATTTTGTCTATAAATTACTAACATTTTGTGCGGAAATAGAGCTCTTTAATTTTCAAAGTTAATAAAATACAAGGATAGGGAAACTAACGATTTATATGTATATTATTGCCAGAGCTATAATAGTTTTTTTATTTTTTGTATATGCAATGTATAAATCCTATGCTAAGAAGATCATAATAGCTATAAACGAGCTATAAACAAAATAAAAATATGTATATTTGTACAGAGTGTACCTTTATACACATCATTAGATAGGTAAGTAGTACTCAATAATGTGTTATTGTAAGGAATTTTATTTTTTTCTAAACAAAAAAGTATGGTTTTGAGGAATACATCGTTTTTCTTTGGTTGAAAATTAATATCAATTATGCCAAGTGATTTATTACAAAATTGTAATAAATTCTACTTAAAAGAAGTGGTTTTTCGATCCACTTCTTTAAAATTTAAAATTTAGAATATGATGTGGCATAATTTATTATTATTTTTAACTACTACCAAACGAGTCATTTCAAAAAACCATAAGTTTTATCTTAGAAAAAATAAAAATAAATTCTTGTATTATACATTACTGAATACTACTCAACTATCTGGTGTAATGAATAACTTTACACTCTTTTTAAATATTATTATGATATGACCCTGCAATGTGTAGATGGAGGCTAGTGGGCTACAATACCTAAAATTCGTATGATAACCGAAATATTAATTAATAAATGTACTTTTAAATAGTTTCTGAAAAGAAAAATATATTATCAAAAATAATTTCGACTACAAATAATAACAAAAATTCTTCAGCTTCAACCTCCTTGCAAAAAATATGTCTGGCTATATCACTAGATCAATGATATACTGGCACTATATATTTATTAAATTTTAAAGATATATTATTTTTCAAATTTTCCCCACTGTAATTTTTTTTAAATATACCACTAAATTCGCAGCCCTAATTATAACACAATTATATATATTGAAATTGTTTTAACTCGTATACTACTTTTCTGAATTTTATAAAAACCCTCTTAAATTATTTTTCTATGTAAAATGAAAATAATAATCTTAGTTTTTTAAGATTGACATTTCATTCAATTTATAGAAAAAATCTATTTTATATATCCATTCTATAACTAAAATTAATTATGATTAATTATATTAATTTATTTTACTTTTTTCATTTATTATCAATTTTAATTTTATAACACCATAAACCCTATACGTGCTTTTATAAAATATTTTTTCTTCTAAAATGTATTGAAAATAAAAAACTTATAAATATTACAATAAATTTTTAATTTTTAATGTTTTTCTTTTGAAAATTAAATATTAGAGCACTAGACATTATCTTTAATCCATAGATTATGACCCAATTTATCTTATTAACGTATTTAATTACGATTTTCCAGCTTCAGTAAGTTTTAATGGCACTTATACGTGTAAATTATCATTATAAAGCTTCATGTTTCCACTGCAAAAATTGTGAAACTAATGGTTGCGTTTTTTTCTTGACGCGCATTTATATTTACTAATAATATTTTTATAATTATTTTTAATAAGTGTGCTAAAATATTATCATTTTGAATGGGGATGTTTATTAATTATAATTATTTAAATAAAAAAAATAATAAAATACCTTAAAAAATTTATTATGTGTGTAACAACGAAAGAAAATCTTATATCATTATAGCTGTTGTTTATATTAGGAAAAAAATCGAAAGTGTTTTGAAACTAAACTTATTATTATTTAAACATTTTTATAATTTATTAAATATTTTTAAATAAAAACTTAATATATCCAATAATGTAAGCAGATATATTTATATGCAAATAAAGAATTTAGAAGTGGATGAATTTTATGGGTTACAATTGGTAATCGATTTTGATATATATCAAATTATTAGTATGCTTGTCTTGAATATCATCATCAGTCACTAGGACGGCAAAATTAATGTCTATACTGTTAGAAAACAGTAATACCTGGTATTCGCATGCCGACACGTTGGTAACACCACTATCGTCTCCCCGAATCCCGCTTCGTCACGCGTCTGTTCCGCCGTTTTGTAGACAACTGCTCTCTGCTGGTTAACCGCCCCACTCTTTCGCCCGGTAGTATTTTTTGCGCGTGCGCTCCACCCTCATCACTTCTAATGCTGTGGAATATGAATTGTTTTGTTGGCCTGCCACCGTTTTCCTGAATAGCTTGTTCAGTTCCCGTCTGATCGGAATGTCTGTTGTGTGTTCTGTATTGTGATTTCGTCCGATCTGTTATCACTTGGTTGTTTCGCGTTATGATTACCGTCACGTGCATATTTTGTAAATAACATTAGTGAATTCCCTTTTTCTATTTATCATAAATATTTATTTTTTCAAGAAAACTAATGTATTTCTAGGGCTCCATTGGGATAAAAGTTTTGGATCTACTGTTATCAATTGTTAAACTATCGTAAGTATTACCATATTAGATCAAATAATTTTTCCATTTCTATACTATCATTTAATTTAAATTGATCAACTTGGTTCTCAAGCGTTAGTACATAAACATTTTAAACGTTATTATCAAAAAAAAAAATTATTCTCGAAATAATGCTTTTGAAATGTCTGCCTTATTATTAAAAGATTTTTGTTTTTACTAATAGCCCAGTTTAATTTTACACAAATCCATTCAGAGTGAACTTTTTTAAATTTATTGTTAACACCACCAAATATTTATTATTAATTAATCAGTATACATTTAAGCACTACATTTATACCGGTCAGGTAAGTTAATAATAGTAAATTGTAACATGTGAAACTGCATTAAATAATTGAACCAAATTACTACGACGAAAATATGTTTAAAATGAAATAGATGAATGTATACTGCTTGTCAGGTCATATAATTAAATTAATATACTTAATTAATATATAATACTTTTAAATGTTTTCTTTTTATGTATAGACTGCTGTTTTCTTAAATTTAATTGCAATACCAATTATCATTTTATCATTAATCTTAAATATATTGATTTTTATCTTATGAGTTACATAAAAAAAAAAAAAACAATTCCTCTGAACAACAGTCTTTAATGAGATGTAAATTAAGGATATGTAATAACAATAATAAAAATATAACACTTGAGTTTATTTTCATTAGTATTTCCTTGCTAGTTGAATTTTATCCAAACTAAGGATTCGTACTGTTTTTTTTATTATAAATGGTAGTTATTTTAACGTATTAAATTGTAATATCTATACGTATTTGTTGCTAATCGTTATAGTTATTGAAAGTATTAAGATATGATAATAGCATGGTATATTATATTATTAAATTAATTAAATTATATTATTAAGATTAATTTTTAAAATTGTCTTAAGATATAACTAAAAGGAATTTGTTTAAATTGGATAAATAATTTTTTTCAACAAAAATAAAAGCCATTTAAATGTGTTATTCTTTATATTTACTAACTTATAACACGTTTAATGGTCGAGTTTCAGTGTCGATAATAGTAGCCAACCTAAATATAGCGCAATTTTTAAAGCAAAAAGGGTGATTCTTTAAACTTAATCCATATACTAGTAAATGTAATTCGTTAGTTTAAACTGATTACGATTTATGTACTCTTTTTTTCGATTTCATTCAAGATTTGTTTATATTCGGAGAAGGCAAATCGATTTACATTTTCTCTTGTAAATGGGTAAGTAATTTACAGTTATATGAAATCGTCGAAAGAAAGGAAGAGGAGGTTTCATATCCGTTGCCTCAAACAGTTTTTCGTTATAAATTATGTACAGTTGACGAAGAAGGGGGTTTTATAGGGGTAGACAAACCAGCCGGTAACGTTAAGCACATGAAGTACGCAGTCTAGGATTAGCGAGAAACCATTTTTTTCTACGATTCTGAGCTCATTGATGTTTGTGTGTGTGCATTCTTCGACTACCCTTCGAAATGGTTTAACATTATAAAAGTTTGCTTTTATTAAAACATAATCCGTTTGATATAGAAAGCACGTTCCATCTAAAAGCTCGTTTTTTTGAGCTAACACGATAAACGTGTTTATTGCTTCGAGCCACTTAGTTCCTTAGTTTTAACTTCCAGAACTTTTCAGCGATTAACTTCGATAACTTGATGAAAGCTTTGTTTTTTTTTGTCTATAACAACAACATTAAGTTTTGTATATTCGATGAACTCTTGGGCGCTTATTGTTTGTAGTTAGAATAGCATTGATTTAATCAATACGCATTCCGTAGCATTGCTTGTCACTACCTACCCATTTCAAAATAAACGCGTAGGTTATAAGATGAAATTATTTTTGAAAAAAGACGAACACGTTGGTTGATTAGTTTTTACATAGGAGAAATTTATATTAGGTTAGGACCATTGTAAATTATTAACCGTCTATTTAGCATTGATGGCGCTGAAGTGCAATACATATTAATGAACTTTTTTAAAAATAAGCGGTTTAATAGATGCCGTCTTATGTAAATGTAATGCCATTTTTCACATTATTTAAAAATTTAAATGATAATGAAAAAAATATTGTTAAGTTATACTTATAGAAAAGGGTAATAGTATTATTATTGTATTTGAAACCCATATTTGTTCGTTTTGAAATAACGGAACTATAAATTATAATATTATTTATAAAAAAAAATAAACATTTTTTTATTTTATTAAAATGATCAAATATTAGTAAATTTGTACCTGCCGTGCTAGTTATATAAAGTAATAATTACTTTATATAACTAACACGGCAGGTTCATTTAATATAATTTAATTATTGAATTATACATTTTTAATTTATACTATAAGAATTATGTCCTAACGATTGAAATTTCGTTTTCCTAATTCATGCGGTGTTGACGTTGAAAATTTGTTTTTAAATTACCTATAACGACATAAAAAAACATTCAGTGTCTTCTCGCTAGGAAGTTTACTTAACAAACTAATTCTGAAAACAACAGTAGGTTAACGTTTTGTTTATTTTAATAACAATAATATTAATGACCTTCAAGTATTTTTTTATTGTGAATAGTCGATCTTGTTTCTCAGTCAACTTTGTCTTTTTTAAATTTACATGGCTTTCTAAGTTTTGCGTTGGCTTAATTAAAACTAACAGTTGTAAATAAAGATATATTTTAAGTGTTAATAATAGATAAAATATTTACTTTTTTGATATTTTATTATTATTTTAGAATATAGTGACCTTAACATAAACTTTGTGTTCTGATTATGCGTACGTTAATAATTCACTATACGGAATTAGTTATTAAAATTTTTTTAATAATTGTTTTAGTTTACAGCGTAGAAATTTGAACTATTACTTTATTTAGCGTCTATGAAATAATCCAGACTTCCTCTTTAATCTTTCAAAAACATCGTAGATAAAAATAGGTGCCACCAACGCCATACAAAGTATAACACTCTGATAAATGTTGTATTCAAAATTTTCATTTTTTAAATACGTTTGAATTTTAATGATTTAGAGAGAAATGGAAGTAATTAAATTTATTCGTTGTTTTAACCGTTCATTTTTTTTTTTTATTATTATTAACATACCATCCGTTGATTTTAAGCATTGTTGAAATAAAAATCACTGTCGCTTTAATGATATAAGAGTCATTACGGAATTCTTTTTGGATTTTGTTTTCGACACTTGGCACACTGCGTTGGGCGCCGGTCCAATCGTTGGTGTGTGCTGCTGACGTGTGAGCGCCTTCTTAAAATTGGTATCTAAAAAGAATCTACTGAAAATTATACAAATAAAGAAGAACTATATCTATTTAAAATCAAACGTGTTACATTCTATATGGAGACTTACTATAGTATAAGAACCTGTGACACTCCAGTGTTTTACAGATTTACTTTCAATTGAAAATCAAATGCTTACTGTGTATTACTAATTATTATTATATTATTTAAATTTAATTGTCCTAGAATTTCAGAATTTTCTTACAGTCCTACTAATATACTGTACGAATCAGGTAATTTTTAATATTATGTTTATGATATCAATATCCTACATTGCTGCCATTCTAGTATACAGTAAGAAATACCTGCGAATGATAAAAAGTATATCAAAATAGCGTATAAAGAAACGTTTGTTTACAATTGAATAAATTATAAAGGTAATTGTAAAAGATCATTTTTTATGAATACGCATTTTACTTACGTTTAAAAATGTACGCCTACAATTTATGATAATGGCGATTTGTAATTTCTACCGATTACTACACCAATAGACATCTATTATTATTTTAAATGTGATACGTTTCCGTTTTATTACATAGAAACGGTATGGTAACATAATTACAAGACCCGAATAAATATTATCTTTTGTATAATGTCGGCTTTTTATTCTGTTTCTCAGGAGGGATATTTCTTTTAAGATTACAAAATTGTAGAATCCCTTTTCGAATTTCTGATTCTCTTTTTCCTGTGCACCTTCTTATACATCAGGTATGTTTTTCTTAACATTGACTACATAAATCCCGTACAATAGTTTTTGGCGCACACTTCATCTAAAATGAGAGAACCCCCACATGTTCGGTGGACAAAGAGTGCGCGTGTAAGAGAAAAATAACAAAATGGTTGGATTGGCATCTGGTTAACTAGTATAATATAATATATAATTTGTATGGTCATTAAAAATGACCCTTCGCAACACCATTCCACATTTGGAGAATATGCAATTTTTTTTTTTTTTTGAAATTAAGGCTTCACAATTGTCATTTTCTTCATTATTTATAGATTATGCAGATGTAGCACTCAAAATGAGATGTTAATGTTTTGTGAAAGTTGTATGCGTCGTGTGACGTATTCACGTTTTTAATTGGCGGGAAATTTTGTTTTTTTTTTTAATCTAGGTAAACGCTACAAAAAAAATTTTAACGTTGGGTAGATTATAATCTGTATTGATATTTAATAATTCTCAAAAAAGTGTATTGCGAAATTTGAGTTTGAAAAATAATTTTGATTTTTTTTTTACGATCACATTCTTATATTAAGTTAAATTTTGTGACTTGATACAAAAAGTACCAAAGTCACATTTTTTAAGAAATTTAAATTATTTATCTAATATAAATACTTTTGGCTATACTTCTTGTGATAATCACTGACAACATGTGGAAAATGTAACATTGATTCTTATCACGTTAAACCACAGAACTCAATCTTAATTGCATTCTGAGTAGTTTTATAGAATTTCACTGACGCGTATAAGTACACATAGTAGGAATTAAAGCAAAAGTGACGTAAGTCAATTGTAATAATTTTTCACGAGAATCATTTAAAATATTATAATCCGATAAGAGCTAATGTAAATTTTGATTTTAAAAATGCCATAATGCCAAACAGGTCGTAAAATAAAAATGATTTACATTCAATTATGTTTTGAGTTTTAATACATGTTTGATTAATATGTGATATTTCTAGATACTGAAAATGAGCTATTTAATAAATATAATCTACTTAGAAACAATAGTATTAAATTATTTTTAGCTCGAGCATTTTTTTATATCTATATAAAATTATCTGAAAAACTTTTTGAAAATAATATTTTACGACTGATAATTATGACCTATAAAAACCTTATAACATATGTCATTTTATTAAGTTAGATTTTTATGTTGGAATACCCTTGTATATGTAGTAAGTAGTAATGTTGAACGTTAACTATACTGTAAGTATACATACTAACATTTTAGATGTATTAGACATTAATAATATTCATATATGTACTCAAATCCATAATTGTTTGGCGCATTAGTTCCAATAAAAAAGTAAAATAAAATAAAATTTAAATACCACTGTATTGCGAAGGTTATTATCCTATAGATTTTTTTAAATCCTAAGGATCAGCAATTTTTATTAATCTTTTGTGCTGTGTCCAACTCAATTGTAGCGACAAATCTCCAAATTTGAGCTTTTTTTATTAACATTCTTATATATTAAATATAAATTTGGAATAATAATAATAATGGAATTTACGTTCATACTTGATTGTCTTTGAGGCATAAATATTTCTTTTAACGTGGCAGTAAAATACGGAAGCTTAATCACGTAGTCGCCTTTAGCGATAAAAGTATAATTCGTGATTAAGGAAAATTTTTATCTTTGGTTTGGCTTTAGGCAACGAGAAATAAAATATTTCCGAAAGAACAAGTGAATTTTCTAAAAAATCATACGTCTATGATTATAAAAAAACATAATGTTGCACAAAATCCAATGAAAAATTTATCTTCTAAATCTGCAACAAAAGACTGTTTTACTGAACAATAAATCAAGGTGTATTCAACATGCTATGAATTACTTGCGCAATAAGGTTTATGATTAAGTTACAAAGCGTTGATAATATTGTAATTCTCAGTCGACACTACACTCATGTTTGAAAATTATTTTGTTTTAATTATTATATCAACACACGTACAGTCTACAAATTTAATGTAGTGATGTCTCGTGCATAAATAATTCGGATTATCTATTAATGTATGTCAAATGAGTATATTTGGATAAGATTTATAACAAATTGTACTAATTACTTAATTATTCGTTCATCATTATTGTAATGCAATATCAATTATGACATGAATATGAATTTAATAATTTTTCTGATTTAGTAAGGTCTAATGTCACTTATACGTGTTAGTTGTCATTATAGAGTTTCACGTTTCTACTGCAAAAATTGTTTAAGAAACTGTTGATTAGATTTAATAACGATTTATTTCTTGGCGTACCTTATATTTACTAATAATCTTTATCGTAATTTCAATTACGATTTAATGATGCGTAATTTATATTGTTATCATACTATTTGAAGTACAATCAATAGATATAATCATTTTACTAGCATGAAAGTTATTAAAATTATAAATTAATAATTGCAATTAAAAGATTAGCCTTTATATAATTGTTTTTTTGAATGATACTCTTATAAATCATTTTAATGTTGTTACCTGTAGTTAAATTTTGTATGATTTTTCATTACGCAATATGTAATAATATATGTGTAAATTAAACACAGAAATATATAATACTTAGCTATTATATGCTTTTATCTCAATGTCACATTTAAAAGTTCACTATTCAAAAATACTAACCTTAATGGCCTACTGATATACTGTACTTGGACTTTTTTTTTCAATGTGGAAATGTGGACATATCACTCAAAACTACCCTTTCTTTACTTTATAAATTGAGCTCGTGGATCCACTTCTTATCATTGACAACGTTTCCATTTTTAACAACGACTCATATTTACACTGTCCCTTGTTAGAAACTAGATTTATTATTCACGAAATATTCTAACTTCACGGAATTTAAATTATTATTAATAAGAGTTATTTCGTTAAACCGCTGTAATGCTGTCGAAATTTATATCAAGAACATTTTGTTATTCTAATAGTATAGTTCTGAATTAAATTGTAATTCATTATTATTTAATTAATTCTTAAGTTGTTCCGGGTTGTATAAAAATAACTGACCTCATAAGAATCATGCAGTATATTTTACTCGATACTGTGTTAATATCGCATAAATTTTGTTTGTACTAATAACAGTGTAATTACCGTTCACATTAGTTTTAATTTTGTTTTGTATTCACCGTTACACTATGAAATCATTAAGGAGCAATAATTATGTATGTTTATATTTTATGATTTTTATTTGTTATGCTGTATATTGTATTGAACATTTTCTAGTAAAATTAAAACTATATTAAAAATATTATTAATTTAAAAAACTAAAAAATATTAAAAATATTAAACTCAAAGCCACAAAAAAATTAATGAAAAGTCGCGGATACGTATTTCGGAAACAATGTTACCATTATCAACGCTAAACACATACTATCAATTTTTATTATATTTTCTAGTAGTTGTAACTCTGTATAAAAATGCATTTTTTGTAATATTGCATAAAAAATTTTCTGCATTAGGAAATCTAAAAAAATGTATACATATCTTATTAAAAAATGATGAACTAATAAGTTATTCAATATTCAAAAATATATTAAAAATATTATTAATCTAAAACTAAAAAATGTTTTCAGTTTTTTTTAAACGTTGATAACGGTAACATTGTTCGAATACTTATCTGCGATTTTTATTAATTTTTTTGTGGCTTTTTGAGTTAAATATTTTTTAGTTTTAAATTAATATATTTTTAATTTTGAGTAATTATCCACAAATGATCAATTTTTATTATATAGTAAATTATTCCTTTTGCAAAATGTAATGTGCAATTGGTTTTTCTTTTTGTTCGTTATATGGTCGAATAAGTAGTCAACAAAAATGATTGAAGTTGTTATTTAACATAACGTCTTTTTTTATCTGAGAAAAGCGTATTTAAGTCTGGGTTATTATGAGTTGTGTCGAGAAATGAATATATAGTTGAAGTGCTGCTAATAGATTTCACAATGTGACTCAATGGCGGGTATCCTTTGTTAATTGTAATATGCGAACCCGTCGCCTGTAATGATTACTGAATAGCCAATTGGTCGGGTAGTTAATTTTAGTAAGTAGAAAATCTCGACATGAAATCGGAATCGAGTTTAAAGCGGGTCATGAGTAATATTTAACAAACGTGTTTTTATTAAATACAAACAAAAAAAGACATTTTATAAGAATTTGAAACATTTAAAAAATTAAGGTACTGGACTATACATAAAAGTGTACACAGAAAAAACGAGGAAAAAAAATCTCAATTTTTTAAAAATTTAAATTTTGGTAACAAAATATTCGATATGTCATAATGTATCATTTATTTAATAGTTTATGTGTTATTATGGGACCATATAAATTAATTATTGTAACAAGAATTTTTTTGTATTATTTGTTTATGCAAAATACAGTTTGATAATTAAGATAATTCATAAAACTGACGTTTCAAGCGTTAGACAGACGAAAGTATTAATAAAAAGTTCAACTACTCTAAATAGTTTTATTGAACATTTTGTAGAATTATCATCAAATTTAAATACTTATGAATGACAATTAAACTAGTTATGGAAGTTATGAAATGGTCATACTAAATAACGTTTCATAAAGAAATATATATT